GCGTCTTGAAGACGGTGATCAAGTGAATAGACAGTTACATTTTTCATAGGATGGTTGTAGTACATCCAGTTTGGTACTGGTCTGTTATTGACCAGTAAGAGCTCCACAACCTTCATTGTATACAAGAATTTTCAGTATCTCTTTAATGCCTATCATCAAGAGAGGAGGGATAGGAATATGAGAGAACATGACCATTATAAGTGCAAGAAGGTGAGCACGCTGGTGATGGGGTGTTGCTGGTGATGGGGTGTTGCTGGTGATGGGGTGTTGTTTGTTGTTGCTGGTGATGGGGTGTTGCTTGTTGTTGCTGGTGATGGGGTGTTGTTTGTTGTTGCTGGTGATGGGGTGTTGCTGGTGATGGGGTGTTGTTTGTTGTTGCTGGTGATGGGGTGTTGCTTGTTGTTGCTGGTGATGGGGTGTTGCTTGTTGTTGCTGGTGATGGGGTGTTGCTTGTTGTTGCTGGTGATGGGGTGTTGCTTGTTGTTGCTGGTGATGGGGTGTTGTTTGTTGTTGCTGGTGATGGGGTGTTGTTTGTTGTTGCTGGTGATGGGGTGTTGTTTGTTGTTGCTGGTGATGGGGTGTTGCTTGTTGTTGCTGGTGATGGGGTGTTGCTTGTTGTTGCTGGTGATGGGGTGTTGCTTGTTGTTGCTGGTGATGGGGTGTTGCTTGTTGTTGCTGGTGATGGGGTGTTGCTTGTTGTTGCTGGTGATGGGGTGTTGCTTGTTGTTGCTGGTGATGGGGTGTTGCTTGTTGTTGCTGGTGATGGGGTGTTGCTTGTTGTTGCTGGTGATGGGGTGTTGCTTGTTGTTGCTGGTGATGGGGTGTTGCTTGTTGTTGCTGGTGATGGGGTGTTGCTTGTTGTTGCTGGTGATGGGGTGTTGTTTGTTGTTGCTGGTGATGGGGTGTTGCTGGTGATGGGGTGTTGTTTGTTGTTGCTGGTGATGGGGTGTTGTTTGTTGTTGCTGGTGATGGGGTGTTGCTGGTGATGGGGTGTTGTTTGTTGTTGCTGGTGATGGGGTGTTGTTTGTTGTTGCTGGTGATGGGGTGTTGTTTGTTGTTGCTGGTGATGGGGTGTTGTTTGTTGTTGCTGGTGATGGGGTGTTGCTGGTGATGGGGTGTTGTTTGTTGTTGCTGGTGATGGGGTGTTGCTGGTGATGGGGTGTTCCTGGTGGTGATGGGGTATTGCTTGTTGTTGCTGGTGATGGGGTGTTGCTTGTTGTTGCTGGTGATGGGGTGTTGTTTGTTGTTGCTGGTGATGGGGTGTTGCTGGTGATGGGGTGTTCCTGGTGGTGATGGGGTATTGCTTGTTGTTGCTGGTGATGGGGTGTTGCTGGTGATGGGGTGTTGCTTGTTGTTGCTGGTGATGGGGTGTTGTTTGTTGTTGCTGGTGATGGGGTGTTGCTGGTGATGGGGTGTTCCTGGTGGTGATGGGGTATTGCTTGTTGTTGCTGGTGATGGGGTGTTGTTTGTTGTTGCTGGTGATGGGGTGTTGCTGGTGATGGGGTGTTGCTGGTGGTGATGGGGTATTGCTTGTTGTTGCTGGTGATGGGGTGTTGCTGGTGATGGGGTGTTGCTGGTGGTGATGGGGTATTGCTTGTTGTTGCTGGTGATGGGGTGTTGCTGGTGATGGGGTGTTCCTGGTGGTGATGGGGTATTGCTTGTTGTTGCTGGTGATGGGGTGTTGCTGGTGATGGGGTGTTCCTGGTGGTGATGGGGTATTGCTTGTTGTTGCTGGTGATGGGGTGTTGCTGGTGATGGGGTGTTCCTGGTGGTGATGGGGTATTGCTTGTTGTTGCTGGTGATGGGGTGTTGCTGGTGATGGGGTGTTGCTTGTTGTTGCTGGTGATGGGGTGTTGTTTGTTGTTGCTGGTGATGGGGTATTGCTTGTTGTTGCTGGTGATGGGGTGTTGCTGGTGATGGGGTGTTGCTTGTTGTTGCTGGTGATGGGGTGTTCCTGGTGGTGATGGGGTGTTGCTTGTTGTTGCTGGTGATGCGGTGTTGTTTGTTGTTGCTGGTGATGGGGTGTTGCTGGTGATGGGGTGTTCCTGGTGGTGATGGGGTATTGCTTGTTGTTGCTGGTGATGGGGTGTTGCTTGTTGTTGCTGGTGATGGGGTGTTGCTGGTGATGGGGTGTTCCTGGTGGTGATGGGGTATTGCTTGTTGTTGCTGGTGATGGGGTGTTGCTGGTGATGGGGTGTTGTTTGTTGTTGCTGGTGATGGGGTGTTGCTTGTTGTTGCTGGTGATGGGGTGTTGCTTGTTGTTGCTGGTGATGGGGTGTTGTTTGTTGTTGCTGGTGATGGGGTGTTGCTTGTTGTTGCTGGTGATGGGGTGTTGCTGGTGATGGGGTGTTGCTTGTTGTTGCTGGTGATGGGGTGTTGTTTGTTGTTGCTGGTGATGGGGTGTTGCTTGTTGTTGCTGGTGATGGGGTGTTGCTTGTTGTTGCTGGTGATGGGGTGTTGCTTGTTGTTGCTGGTGATGGGGTGTTGCTTGTTGTTGCTGGTGATGGGGTGTTGTTTGTTGTTGCTGGTGATGGGGTGTTGCTTGTTGTTGCTGGTGATGGGGTGTTGCTTGTTGTTGCTGGTGATGGGGTGTTGCTGGTGATGGGGTGTTGCTGGTGATGGGGTGTTGCTTGTTGTTACTGGTGATGGGGTGTTGTTTGTTGTTGCTGGTGATGGGGTGTTGCTTGTTGTTGCTGGTGATGGGGTATTGCTTGTTGTTGCTGGTGATGGGGTGTTGCTGGTGATGGGGTGTTGCTTGTTGTTGCTGGTGATGGGGTGTTGTTTGTTGTTGCTGGTGATGGGGTGTTGCTTGTTGTTGCTGGTGATGGGGTGTTCCTGGTGGTGATGGGGTATTGCAGGTAGCGATGGGCTGTAGCTGGTGGTGATCATGGGGAGGGTTTTGGGGAAGGGGCCAATGGAATGGGTTAGGGGGAGGGTTGAAGGGAAGGGATCAAAGGGGAAAAGTTGGGAGGAAAGGGGGTGAGGTGGTTGGTCAAGAAGGGTCAAAGGGAGGAGTCAAAAGGGAGGGGTCAAGGGGGAGGGGTTAGGGGAAGACATACAAGACGAATACTTTAACATTTTTATTGAATCTTTTACACTTCAGTTTTTATTTATATATGATTTTTTTTTTTAGAAAGTGGCTCTCAGCTTGGTGAGAAGGGACGCAGCACTCCTTACTGTCCACTGTCACTCTCCCCTCCCCACGTCCATCCATCTGTACATTTGTGCTAGTGACGATTTACATATATTATTCAGAGAATATAAAATTACCTCATTCTCATGTGTTCGGTAAGGTGACCCCTCTCCTTCCCCTTTTCTGTTTGGTCATCAAACACTACATTTAAACACTTAAAGCAGGTCCAGAGAGCTTGATATCTCGTTCTTGGATGATTGCACTCTGGTTGGTCCCCCTAGATTTCCCCTGGAGCCATCAGAATATTTCAGGAACAAGAGGAAAACCTAGGTCTCACACAGAGCTTTTTTAAATGTGAAATAATCTGCTACAACCAACAAATCATTGCTAAAGTAAAAGACGTTCTGCCTGATATCCACATAACCAGTCCAGAAGACAGCACACTCCTATGACCTCCCCGCCCCCTGGGCTGAATGTAATCGATAAGCTCCTCGGTACGAAAATCACTTACCAGAAGAGGATGGATGAGAGAAGTGAACACAGACACAATGCCCCTGACCTTCTCACCAGATACTTGACCCTCACTAAGTTAACTTACTTTCTGATGTGTTCACCAATGCACAATCCCCAAAGCTAGGTGAATATGATGGCTTACTTAAATCTATGAAAAGAAAAAGTGTTCAACCTTTCACTAAATAACCCACAGTGGAAACAAGATACCTTCTCGGTCAGATTTAGGGAGCTAGTTGAATACACAGCCATGAAGATCTCTGTACCAGTCTTTCTATCCTCCTCCTCAGCATCCTACAGTCTGATGAAGGCAAACCTACCAGATTACATAGGCAACTTGGCAGGGTATACAAACTAAGTTGCATACACTGCACCACCAAATGGGTTTCACTCACAGCTCTCAGTACTTTAACCACCTCCATGTAAAGCCCACAAGCATGCCAGCTGGGACATCACCATGACAGACATAGCACCTGGAGTATCTCTTGTTGCTGCACCACCACCACCATGTGCAGTACACCTGCATTACTACACCTCAAACAAATTTAAACAGTAAGCCAAAGATTATTCCTCTTTCTATTTGAAATATCCGATGTGAAAAAATTGGTAGTTTTACCTGGGTGGATCATTTAACACGCAGTAATGTATCACCTTGAGGGCTAGGCAGCTAATAGGAAAGCACCACAGCTAAGTCACTATTCCAACTGTACTTCTGATCCATGTTCAACAGGACTGCCAACTTCTGCCCAGGAAGCAACATGTCAAGATATTGAAGGGGTCCTATGGTACAGACTACATTCTCAATTCACAATTAGGAATCCCAGGTTTGATCCCTGGGCAAGACAGAAATAGTTGCTTTCCACCTAATGCCTTTGTTCACCTAGCAGTAAATTAGTACCCGGGAGTTAGGCAACAGTTAAGGGCTTGCATCCTGGGAAAGGTCAAAGTTCACAATAGGAGGGACCTCGGTGCAAGCCTAAAATGTATAATATATACACACACATGCTTCCTGTCCCTAACAATGGGAATAAAACCCTGGAACTAGGGTCTTGCTTGTGGTCAAAATATTTTGATGAACTCTACCTGGGGATTAAAAAGGAAGACAACCCTGGAACGTAAGACAGCTCTTGCCATTGCTAAAGATGTTCAATTCAGGTGAAGTGGGCAAGATTTTAAGGCACTCTTGGTGAAGTAGTATTACAGCTATCACTTTACACACACATGCTCAGCATCCCACTGCAAAATACAAACATGCTGCACAGTTTGCTCGCACAACACAGACCTACTGGTATTATTTCACCATGAGAGTGTTTTGTTAATTTTACTACTGATTTTATTATAATCAAACAGCCAAAAATATCAAACAGAACTTTATTTGTTTACACAAGCTGTTCAGTTTTAATTTTTCCAAAGATGTTGAACAAATCTTACATACTACTTTTGTACATGAGGCTAAGCGTTTATGGCATTGCAAATGTTTGAATATAAAAAGTCAGAGTTTTATAAATATCAAAGAATGCTTCATGTATTATATTTATATCTGCAAATCAGGCTGAATAACTACACACTTTTGTAAGTGCTTCAATGGTTTTAAGCCGGCATCTCTGCTTTGTAATTTCATTCCATCTTTTATGGTAATTTCAAGCTGTGTAATATCAAGACAAAAATACACAGCAACATTTGTATTTTGTTAACTGATGCATTTCTATTTGGATTTGTCATGTCCACAATTAACTGTACATCAGATATAGCTTAGTAGCTGGCACCAAAATTATAAACCTACAAGCACATTACCATATTAATGAGAGTCAGTCAACTGCAGGACCTACAACTTTTAGTAGACCTTAACTACATCCTATGTGCAGCTGGCTATAACACTCACACTACAAGCTGTAACTAAAGCAAGCATGCCACATGCACACTACAACCTTGTGAGAAAGCACATTAAAAAATATATCCAGAAGGTAGATATTCATTAAAATTATTTTTAAGTCACTTAGACTGATATTGTTAAACATTTTAAAATATTTCCCAAAGAGAACTCAGGTAACTTCAAAATAGAAGGGAACTCTTTAAGATTCTGCAGCATTTATGTAACATGATCACTATTTTGAGACATCCATTTTCTTCTCATTTGGGTCGATGGCTTTGTCCCCCGGCATCCACCCAGCTGGACACACTGAAAAGATTATATCGATTAATATTTTTATAAAAGCGAAAGAATTTCCTTCCATTCACAGAAGAACACATCAGAAACTGTAGCAAAACAAACACAGAAATAAAATGGAAATAATACAGAAACATCAGTAATAATAACCAGCATGAACAAACCTCTTCCTAGAGTAGCCACAGCACGAGCGCTCGAAGACACGTACCTATCTTGAGGTTATCTTGAGATGATTTCGGGGCTTTAGTGTCCCCGCGGCCCGGTCCTCGACCAGGCCTCCACCCCCAGGAAGCTGCCCGTGACAGCTGACTAACACCCAGGTACCTATTTTACTGCTAGGTAACAGGGGCATAGGGTAAAAGAAACTCTGCCCATTGTTTCTCGTCGGCGCCTGGGATCGAACCCAGGACCACAGGATCACAAGTCCAGCGTGCTGTCCGCTCGGCCGACCGGCTCCCTCTTAATGAATTATCCTCTTAGTGAAGAATAAATCTTTGCCAGAAAAAGAAGAGAAACAAAAACATCATTCAGGATCAAGAGAGCAGCCGAGTTAGGCGACTCGGCAATAGCTGGAGGGGAGAAAAAAAAACATAACCCCGGAAGAGACCAGGATGAGTGCCAAGCACTCCTGGAGGTAGACACAAGGCAGTGAAAATTGAGAAGTCAGATGTTGGAGTTCAAGAAAATTTGCAAAGAAACCATGAATATGCCACTGAAGAATAGACATACAAAAGAACAGAGGGTAGGAAAACTAAAAATAAAGGAGAAATCTGAAGGTACGGGTCACTAGGGAGGATCAGGAGCACGGACAGTGAAGTTTAGGTGGAGTGGGGAGGGAAGGGAAGGGGGGGGAAGTAGAGGTAAATCAAGCAAAGATGGCGGAGTTGACAGGGCGGTAGAAAGGTGCAAAGGGAAACTGACAGGGTCAGGAGTGGGAGGAAGCACCAGGGATGGGCAGGTGAGGGAGGGAGCAAACACCAACAGAAGCAGCAGGGAGCACCTTACCAGGGATAGGACCAGTGGCAGACTCCAAGGGCTATGGAAATGTCCATAGCCAGATCCGCTGACTCCACTACCGAGACAGGAGAGAAGTGCGGGAAGGACAGGAGCTTTCTTACCCCGCAGAGGAGGGAGAGGAACCAGGTTTCCATTTCTGACAGACACAGGTGTGCCAGTAGCGACATACTAGGCACCAGGCTCCATAGTCTCAAACGAAGAGGGAGAACGAGAAACACACAGAGGATTCGAAGGAGGATGGACATCAACCCAGAGGGACGGGTGGGAGGGAGAGACAGAGAAGACTGGGAAGGAAGATGGCATAGAAGAGCAAAGGAGAGCACATAAGAAAGAGAAAGAGGATGGAGAAAAGTGGCGCTAACCAGGCAAGTAAGAGACGAGAAGGAGGGTTGGAGCAGTCTGAGAAGGAAGAGGGTTACTGGCAGGCACACAATGGACAGGGACAGTAGGAGAGCTGGTGGAGGTGTAAGGGTCCAAGGGCTGGAAACAATTGGAGAACAAAGGAAGGGAAGGGGTGTGGGGACTAGTGGTATGATGCAACTCACGAGCATAAGTAATGGAAGAGTCAGGACAGCGGATCTAGTGCCGAGCTTTGGGGAAAGAAATACAATCTCAATGCTTCAAGGAGGGGACAGCCTGTTCAAGCTCATAATGGATGCACAACTGAGAAAATGTAGGTCACAGTTGATGTAGTGAGGCTGGGAAGAAGAGAAATCAGTTTGAGAATGCCCAGGGTCACCACACAAGGGGTAAAGGGGCACCTCGTAGCTGCACCTGGAAGAACCACGTCCAAACTGTCAACATCTATTGTACAGGCGTGGAGAGGGAATGTACTCCACACCTGTACAGGCAGGCAGTCCTGTAAGACTTTCAACTTCAGCCTTCTATTTTAGATGGAATTATAAAATTCTTTAGCAACTCTCAAAGACCTTAAATAATATTGAGGCACAAGCATTGTATGTCATCCTGAATGATGGGATAAAATAATTATAATAATTATACCTTCATGAGTGGCAGAAAAAGTAACTTAGAAATAATATGAATTATATCCTATATAAAAACAAATCCACTGGAATAAAAGCAGCCTTGCCACTAGAAAGACTAAACTGCACTGTAACATACCTTGGCCATGCTTGTCGGCATACTGAAGAGCCTTTATCAGCCGTAGAGTTTCATCTACACTACGACCAATGCTGTCGTCATTTGCAATTACCTGAAAATTAAATACTAATTATTTTAGAGATGTCTTACATGAAAATATTTGTGAAAACATAAGATACTATGATGTAGACAAGTTTAGAGAATAGGTTAACCATGCAGGCAAAGTTCAAGTGGCATGAAAGGTGCGGGTGCTCGAGGTCTCAACAACAAAGCCGGAGATGGGGTGTAGCCACAACAGGCTGGCTGCAGTAGAGGGAGGATGGTGATATGGCATCCCAGACCAGTCCCAACCAAGTCTGAACTTGCAGAAGCCACCTGCTGTGCCTTCTCAAGTTGATTAGAAAGCTAATATAGGCCAACTGAGAGAAAGGACCAGATCCCTGGTCTTGGTCCAGGGATCGGATATATGATAATGTTTTCCCGATTTTGGGCCGATATCTGGTCCCCCTGGCTCCCCTCACCTCATAGGGACAGATACTGGTCCTGTCCTCCAGTAGGTGACATCTATCACTGGTAGCATAGTGGTACCACGCTTGCCTTGCTCCACATCTCTCAAGAGTGATTTCAACTGGGCTCCAGCCCTAACCCTTTTGCCTATGTTCACCCAGCAATAATTATAAGAAACCTGGTTGTAAATTGGCTGGGAGGTCATGTACCAGGGGTAAACTAATAGGATAAAGCTTACCATACGCCTTTGGAATGGAAAGCACTAAGTCTGTTAACAGGAGTCAGAAGTCATCTTCTTGTACACACCTGTTCTATAATAATAAAGGAAATGGGGGTCTTTGTAGTATAGTGAATGGAGACTTGATGGTACATGTAAGTTTTGAGAGCTATTGCTGCTTCTTCCCAGAAATGTCTTTACTTAATTATAGTATTACAGTATACCATAATTAATCCATCCACACTCGGTTATCATAAAACGTGCATGACAATAAAAGTTTTTTATTTTTATATCGGGAGCTATTCATAACAACAAATTTGTGTCTAATAACAAACTTTTGGAAGTTCGGATGTTTTATTACGTCACCTGCTAGCCAGGGGCCAGATTCACGAAAGCACTTACGCAAACACTTACGAACCTGTACATCTTTTCTCAATCTTTGGCGGCTTTGTTTCCAATTATTAAACAGTTAATGAGCTCCGAAGCACCAGGAGGCTGTTTATAACAATAACAACAGTTGACTGGCAAATTTTCATGCTTGTAAACTGTTTAATAAATCTAATCAAAGCCGTCAAAGATTATGGAAAGATGTAGACGTTCGTAAGTGCTTGCGTAAGTGCTTTCGTGAATCTGGCCCTAGCTCTGTCAGTAGCACTGCTAGTCAACCTCCACACAGTTTGTTTCCTTCATAAAGACAAAAATACAGTTTTCTATTGCCTGCATCAATAAATAACTGCAAATTTGTATTACACTTAAGTGAGGGGAGGATGTGATAAGTGATGTATAGAGATAATCAGTGTCGTCTGATTGATAATGTTTTCCTCATCTTCTTCACAAAATAAACCTATCCATGCATGCTAGTATCTCAGTTTAAATGAAGTGAAAGCATTAAGAAGAATAATGTTTATTATTGCAAGAATCAATAAAGAAAACTTGGAAAAGTTACAAGTTGACCAGCATTAGTGAAGAGATGCCTTAAGGCTCCTGCACAGCAAGTTTAACCTTGACCCAATAACATAACATGATCCTTCCTTCAATTACAGTATACAAAGTTTTAGTTTATGGACCCCAGAGGTACCAATTGGTTCAAATAATCGGGGTCACAATATATATTTATTCAACCCATTCTCTCTAGTTGTAACATCATAAAAATTATGTACTAAACTGCCCGAACCTAACCCTAACTGAGGACCCACAAATAGAAAACGTGCCAGCACGTCAACTTTGTGAGCAGCTATGATTTATATTACCTCGTACTTTGGCCGTTTGGAATTGATATGTCAAAAGTGATGTACTATTGAAGAGGAGAGGTTAACTTATTACCTGTACAGTACTTTTAAAAGCTGCAATACATAATCTCATGAAATACACTCACCTCTCTGATCACAAGATTCTTGTCGATTATAACTAGAGTGCGATAGGCTACTCCAGTAGCTTCATTCAGTACTCCATATTTCCGTGACACTTCCATGGATTTATCTGCCAAGAGAGGGAACGGGACTTTACCAACTCCACCTTCCTCACGCGATGTCTGGCACCTAAAATGATAAATGCATTTGTTAACTTTTCACATACTGTATGTAACTGGAAATTCCATCACAAAGTTAGTACAAGTCTTTGGTACAAGTGTTTATTCTCAACACAACATTTTCTGCCATAAATTAAGTATTTATTGCTACAAATTAAGTCTTGAATAATGATAAGAGAAGAGTGATGGTGTGTTGGAGCAGTTTCAACCCTTAAAATGTAGTTCTAGTCACATGTTGCTTTCGTGGTGTAATATGGTTGTCCCCATGTTTATTTTAGCTATCATCCAGTGTTTATACAAATGAACAACCAGTACATAACTAAATTCTAATATCCCCCCATGCCTGAGAACTACCACGTGAACCAGTCAAGAAGAATGTAATGCAAGTTGAGTCAGCAGAACCTATTGTGGATTGCCACTTGCTGGCAACCAAGTTAGGTTATTAGCTCAGTTAGCCAGCAGTTAGCATGAGTACAGTTTTGTAGTATGATATAAAGTAGCTTCTTCCAAGCACCAGTATGAAAAGATCTCAGTGTCTGTCATGTACTATAATTCTGCCCCAAGTATCCTCCTGCCCATGATAGCTGTGGTATTTTCCTCAAGGAGTGACCAAGAGAAACTCAAGGATGGACAACAATATTTGAACAAATTTTGATTAACACCAACTTACATACAGTATTCAGTAAATGTTAACACTTACCACTAAATGTGAATCAATACTGTTGCTATTACTGTAAGCTTGATGTGTGTATAATAAGTTATTGTGAAGCTGCAATGTTCAGAATATACATTGCAGTCTACCCACCCATATAACACCTAGCCTTTCTGCCCGCACACGTGGGTAGGGGGCACGATGAAACCACACAATGTGTGTACCTGTCACCCAAATTAAGAACCACTGCATCTGGCAAGTAACTAGTTGGATGACTATGAGACTAGCTTCACCCATTGCCAGGTGGGTTTTAATGAGCCTAATATGCTTTCTGTCCCCAACAATGGCACACCAGGTCATACAGGTACTGTAGTAAAACAATTAATAATGATCATATTTAGGTCAGTCACTGTGGCAATAAAAGTTCTTTCTGTAAAGCTTGGCTAACAAGGTGACAGAAGCTGATCTAGCCAGTTGTGAAGCTCACAGCCAAGAGAACCATCCAACAATAGCTCAATGCACTTGGTGATTCTGTTAGGAATTCTACAGACTTTTTATTATTCACTATTTTTTTTTTAAATTTGGTTCTACACAAACATGTTAAGTGTTGCTCATGGGCCCCATGAGAAAAGCCCACAGCCCCCTCAAGGAGCCAAATGCACCTCTGCAAACACCATCCTGTAAGATGACTCTTTAAAGAGCACTCAAAGCACCCATGAGTGATGGTCCACTAATACAAACACTCACTCCATTGTCACTTTCCATGTGAACTGAGGTCGACCAAAGAAAGTTGTTGATCCCCATCATATCCAGACTTCTGGAAAAATGGGTCCATTTGAGAAGGAATATATTTTTGTGAAATATGTGCTTTATAACTGGCCATTCTAGTAATCTGCCTTAAGTAGGTCCTGCAGGTGCTGGATAGTAAGTTGTTTAAGGTAGTGCATATACCTTGGGAAATTTGAATAAAAATACAGGAACACTGTCAGCTTACATCAAGACGTGTTAATGTTGAATGCAGTGTAGACTTGGTTAAGAAATATGATTCTTTGTCATGGGATATACCGACAGATTATGTAAAGATGTATTCCTCTAGAGAGGAATGGAAGTTATACAAGGTAAATTATATGAAGCCAAAAACATTTATCTTCAGCATATGAAATACAGAAGTATGTAGAATCATAATTAATGTAGACAGTAAGTCACAATAACATGGCTGAAAACTAGCCACCCAACCCATACATTGGAAAAGAAAGGAAGTGACAATATTTCGGTCCATCGTGTCCCACTATCACACACACACACAGCTTAATAATGGTCCAGGACAGGCCAAAAACATCCTCACTTTCTTTATTTTCAGACGTGTGGGATGGGTGTTTAATAATTAGTTTTTAATGACAGGACCTCTTTCCACACACAAGACTCATTTCATGCACCATACCATGCAAGATGAGTAAATTTAGAATCTGTTGAACAGCCCAGCACCTCGCATCCAACAGAGTGAAACTCATCAATTCGTTCAGTAAATGATATTATCTCCGTTGGGCAGACGAAGGTGAAATCCAACGGGTAGAAGAGGATGACGATAAACTTCCCACGGTAATCATTCAGTGTCACCTCCTTCATCTTCATGTTCACTACAGCTTCACATTTGAAGTACGGAGCTCTAACACCAACACGAATGTTGCCGCCCTGAAGACTCTTGAATAAATAAATTATAGTATTAGGACATGTACCACATAGTTATAATAAGAAAATACTGGTTCATATAGCAGTTGTTACAAAAGAAAAAATACAAATATCTCAATACAGTATCTTAAATTTAGAGTACAGTACTTCTTACATCCAGTAATGTCTTATCTATCTGAAGTAACTGATACGAAAGGTGTTAGTATTCCTGTCCGTTTTTCAAACAAAATAATTATAGATTGAAAATACAAACTCTACAATCAGAGGGACCTTGCTCAAATAAATTATGGTGGATCAGAAGGAATCCTTGGTGGGCCAGAAGGAATTGGCCGCTGTGTAATCCAGATCATTAGGTAATTTCCGACAGTACAGTACATGGATTTTTTGAAGATTATATATTATGCAAAAATGGTTAGAGGGTAGCTTATGATACAGCCAGTGCCTGATCCACCCCTTCCCCCCTTGATGGTAATATAAGCATGGAACACTGAGAAACAGGCAGTAAAGAGATCAATCAAATGGACTTTGGCAGATTAAAACTGCACGTCAACACGCCTGACACATCACGAGGTCAGCAGAGCAAAATATTTTGGCAAAGTAACTGAAGTAGATACCAATGCCACTAAGAATAATAAGGAACCCAAAGTATTTTTAATCCCAACCACATAATTTTACAGTTTCAAACACAGTTTTAATGGTACAAAAGAGGAGGGCAAGAGTTTGAGTAAATCACACCAAGCCTGAGAGGCTGGAAGGTTGGACTGTGGATGGGGACTCAAACCATAAATGGGAACTTAGAAAAAGTGAACCAACCTGGAGGAATAACTCTTTTGGTTTTAGTGATTTTAGTTATTTTACTCTGACCCTAATCTGGGTCAGAATACCCATTGTCCAGCTTCCGCTGCAATCTACCTCTCCAAGAGGAGAAGGAAGGAACGAATGAGGAAGAGATGGGGGATGGGGGTAAGGGCACCTTCAATGGAGCCCCCCCCCAACCCCCCCAGAAGACTGGCTTTCATATCCCACAAACACAGGGGACGAATACCAAAGGAGAGATCAGGCTCCAGCACCACTGCACATTTACCAATGGACCCTCACTCAAAAAAAATAATGCTGTATATATCACATACCCTAAACATCATTTGAAAATGGAGCCTAGATACTGGTATTATCCCAACATGCTTAATTAAAACAGCAGAGATTGCACCACTTTACAAATGGGGTAGTAAAACAGATGCTACTATTTTTAGACCAATATAAATAACATTACAATCATAAAAATCTTTGAATGAGTACCAAGATCACATAAATTCATGGAGGTTACAACAACTATAAAACCTTGGACAATATGGGATCAAAGCAGGACACTTGTGCCTCTCACAATTGCTAGACCACAATGTCATGGCCTTTGATACCATAAAAAGGTGGTGGCACAGCAATGTATCTATTGCTACCCAATCTCCCAACCTTTATGTTCCCAATTTGTACATGTTTACCATTGTGATCATTGCTGTCTTCTTATATGTGCTGCCAATCTGCTGTATGGTGTTTATTAATCTTGTTTATCTGTATCTATTGCTACCCAGTCTCCCAATCTTTATGTACCCAATCTGAACATCTTTACCATTGTGATCATTGCTGTCTTATATGTGCTGTCAATCTGCTGTATGGTGTCTATTAATCTTGTTTAAATTACTAATCAAGCTGTCAATGTAATCAATCAGAGCTTTAATATAACAATGTGCTTTAATATACTTACTAAGCTCTCTCATCTCATTTTTCTCTTGCAATGTATCTTTATCATTTATCAATTCTGATAGAAATTACCTACTTAAAATTATCTGTTAGATTGACCTGCCCGAAACGCTGCGCGTACTAGTGGCTTTACAAGAGTGTAAATACTGTACTATCCAATGTATTCTCACAAACCCAATGTACCTTCTTGTATATATATAAGTAAATAAATAAATAAATAAGATGACAAGCAAAACACCAAAGTAATTGTACCTGGATTGTACATGGATGAGTTCTGGGCATTCTTCTACTCCCCAAGCCTGGCCTGGGACCAGTGTTGACTTGTGAGAGCTTGGTCCTACAGGCTGTTGCTTGCAGCGGCCCGCATGCCTACATATCCACTACAGCCCAGTTGGTTGGCGCTTCTTGCAAAACTGTTTTTTCTTGAAAACTTCCACCTTTGTTCTGGCAATATTTCTTATACTTGCTGGGAGGATATTGAACAGCCAAGAGGCCTCTGATGTTCATACAGTGTTTTCTGATTGTGTCTATGGCACTTCTATTCCTTACTGGCTCTATTCTGCATTAATCGTTCACTCCAATATGTTGTTATTTTACTGTGCAAAAAGACCAGGGGGGGGGGGGGGCACACAAAGATTTTGCAAACGTTTTTGAAAAATATGACCATGATGCAATTGCACAAAAATTTACCACAAAAGGAATTACTTGCCAAGTAGGAAGATGGATCTTTAATTTTCCAATGAACAGAGACCCAAAAAGTACCTGCATTTAAAGTTCAGTCCTCCCGAGGAAACTGTGCTTGCTCCACTACTCTGTCTCATATTAGACATAGACAAGCATAAAAATTATAACATTGTATCATTCTTAGCAAATGGTACTAAGATTTATATGAGTTTTAACAATACAGAGGACATAGCTAGTCTCTAAACTAATGCAAACTAGGTCATTCAATGGGCCACAAAAAAACATGTCAATGAAAAAAAGTTCCAGCTCCTGGAAGATGGTAAAAACGAATATACAGGTATAATAACCTAACACGCATAAAATGCAGTCAAATCACACTATAGAAAGAAAAAGCACTATACCAGGTAACTGACTTGGGAGTAATCTTGTCAGTAGACCATACATTTTAAAAAGCACAATAAATTAGCTTTCATAACTGCAAGAAAAATGACAGGCTGTATGACAAGAACCAATGAGAGTACTTTTTAAGACACTAGTATTATCTATCGTTGGGTTGAATATTGTTGCCCATAGCCCTTCAAAGCCAGAGAAGATGCTGGCCTGGAGAACATGCAGAGAACTTTTACTTGTAGAATATTAGGATGACTGGCTCCAGATCTGCACATAGTAATAAACTCCTTATGAGACCCAGAAGGCAATAGAAGTAGAAGCACTTCTACCTCTGGAAAGTAGAAGTGCAATAGAGATGCGCAGAGACAACTTTATTAACATTCAAGGCCCAAAGCTGTTCAATGCTCCTCCTCTATACATAAGGGGCATAACTAGTTGACCTCTTACAGTGTTCAAAAGGGAACTTGATAAATGCCTCCAAAGGATACTGCATCAACTGGGCTGCAATGCGCAAGTCTGCAAGCCCAGTTGACCAGACTGTAAACCAAGAAGCCTGGTCAGAGACTAGGGCAATGGGGAACATTGATCCTCAGAACCACTTCAAGGGGACTTCAAGGGCACCTCAAGGTAACCCTTGACTAGATCTACATTGCATTACATTGTATGATATTGCAGAGCCCCAACCTAACCTCACTTAACTCAAAATATACATTAGGAATTTGTGGAGCATACTGCTCAATGTGCATCAAAATCTAATGCAATATGCCTATAAAATGAGAATTTATGAAAAAGCTAGCTAGTGAAATGATGTTTTTTGAAAAGCTTGTACCTCAGAATTTACAGTCCCCATAATATAGTAGTATTATTTTTTTTTTTTTAATTATACTCAGCTGTCAGGGGGCCTGACAGCTGAGTGGACAGCGCTTTGGATTGGTAGTCCTGAGGTTCCGGGTTCAATCCCCTGTGGAGGCAGAACAGATGGGCAATTTCTTTCACCCTGATGCCCCTGTTACCTAGCAGTAAATAGGTACCTGGGAGTTAGACAGCTGCTATGGGCTGCTTCCTGTAGTGTAACAAAAAAGAGGCCTGGTCGAGGACTGGGCCGCGGGGACGCCAAGCCCCGAAACCATCTCAAGATAACCTCTCAAGATGAGGTAAAGCACTTGCACAGTGCTTTGCGAGCGCTTTGGCTTTGGTTCGTCTCTTGGCTGGGAAGGATTGACTAGGCAGGAATCCTTAACTGTATGCCACTGTTCACCCAGCAGTGAATGGGTACCTGGTTGTTAAACAATTTGGTAGGTCGTATTCTGGGAAAAAATTAAGGACCTGCCCGAAATGCTATGTATGCTAGTAACTTTACATGAATGTAAAAATTCCTGTATACATATAAATAAAAAAATAAAAAAATTACACTCCATTACTCCACCAGATACAGTAGGACCCAGAAGGCACCAGCATGAACATTACAGCATCATAGTGATGTCATAAACTTCAAGCAACCACTTACACACAGTTTTGTTTCTTATTTTTTGTGGCTTGTGCCAGGTTACGTACTTTTCTCAGGTCTTAGGAGCCTGCTCCCCCAGATGTGCTTCACCTTTTTTTTGGGGGGGGATATATACAAGAGTTGTTACATTCTTGTACAGCCACTAGTACGCTTACATAATTTATTTATTTATTTATATATATACAAGACGGTACATTGGGATTGTGAGGATACATAATATAGTAATTACAATCTTGTAAAGCCACTAGTACGCGCAGCGTTTCGGGCAGGTCCTTAATCTAAGAAAATTTTAGGCAGGTAAATACTTGCAAAATTTATAAAAAATGATAACAGTTACAAGGCAAGAAAAAAAAATAAAAGATGAGAGAAAATTGTAGGTATATTAAAGCACATAGGTAGCTCAGATTGATTGCAATGACAGCTTGTATGGTAGTTGACAAAAATTGGCAGGCACAATACAGCACATGGCTAGCACCTAAAAGAAGACAGCAATGAACACAATGATAAGGTTGTTTGGGTTAAGTACATAAAAATTGGGAGATTGGGTAACACTAGGTACAGAGCAAATTTAAAGCTCAGTGTAGGAAACTACGAAGATGAAATTAGGTACTCTTTGGTTTTGCTTTTAAATGAGGCAAAAGTTTGACAGCTTTTCAATTCACTAGCGAATAAGTTCCATAGACTAGGTCCCATAATTTCCATAGAGTGTTTACATAGATTAAGATTGACCCTGGGGATATCAAAGAGATATTTATTTCTGGTGTGGTGATAATGGGTCCTATCTGTCCAGGGAGAGTTTCAGAGCATGGTTTGCATTTAAGAACAGGGTTTTGTAAATGTAGTTGACACAAGAGAATGTGTGGAGGGAGTTAATATTTAACAAGTTTAGGGATTTAAACAAGAGAGCTGAGTGTTGTCTGAGAGCAGTTAGTTATTATTCTGATAGCAGATTTTTGCTGTGTGATGATGGGCTTAAGGTGGTTTGCAGTCGTAGACCCCCATGCACAGATACCATAATTAAGATAGGGGTAGATTAGTGCATAATATAGTGAGAGGAGAGCAGAGTTAGGAACATAATATCTTTTTTAGAGAGTAGACCAACTGTCTTAGAGACTTTCTTAGTTATGTGTTGAATGTGGGTGCTGAAGTTGAGTCTCTTGTCTAGGAATAGGCCAAAAATTTGCCATCATTTTTATTACTGATGTTAATGTTGCCTATCTGTAGCTGAATTGCATTTGATGATTTGCTTCCAAATAAGATGTAGTAGGTCTTTTCTATGTTTAATGTTAGTTTGTTAGTTGACATCCATAAGTGGACTTTTTTTAATTCATTATTCACAACATTATTTAGTGTATGTGGGTTGGGGTCTGAATAGATAAGCCACCTCTTTACTGCTAGGTGAACAGTTGCATCAGGTGAAAGGAAACAACAAATGCCCAGCTGTCTGTGTAGGAATTGTAACAAGAGTTTCTCCTAATAGATAAAGGTGTATATATATATATAGTTGGGTTGGGTGTGTGTGGTATTATGTTATTACACCCGCTGGGGCGCCTGGACAGGTAGCCTGCGGTTGTCTTCAACCTCAACACGTGTGGCAACATGCTGCCTCTGGTATGCCAGCCTTTATATCAGGGCCACAGCGGCATACCTGTGAATATACACCTCCGGGTGTATATTTAGGAGTCATTAACGAGTGATAACGAGGAGTGACCAACCTGTTGCTGGGTGACAAGGGCGTCCTCCACCTCCATGACGGAGTCCTCGCCTCGTTTCACCCGCTGAACACTCGTCTTCCTTCCCTCGTCGTCTTCAGGTCGAGGACGCTTGCCTGAGGTGCGTCCGCTACTGCTCCTGCCTTTGCTGGTCGACATAATGGATGAACAAGAGGTGAGTGTTTGAAGACTGTGATGGCGGGACAACTGGCGCCGGGCGCTTCTTCTCCGGGACGCCGGGCGCTTCTTCTCCGGGGCGCCGGGCGCTTCTTCCCCGGGACACTAAGTGTTCCCTGTCTCACTAACACAGAGAACACGTATAATTAAGGACTACTGGTTCAACCTTCCGGACTCCTGGTTACAATCCCGCTCCTGTGCCAGGTAAGTCCACTATGGGCTCACCATAGCCCGTGCTACTTGAAACTTTTCGTTCCAAGTAGCTGAATCTGAGATGATGATGTTCAACCTTGGCGACGAGCGGACGTTTGGACGCCTCCACCTGGAAGTCGCCGGATCTCTTTCTGTTTTGCGATTTTGGATTTGATAGCTTTCAACATGAGCTGGACGGTAGAGCAACGGTCTCGCTTCATGCAGGTCGGCGTTCAATCCCCGACCGTCCAAGTGGTTGGGCACCATTCCTTGCCCCCCATCCCAAATGTCAATTGGTGTCAATTGCCGGCTGGAAAGATATTGTAAATCAAATGCAATATCTTTCATAGACAACTGGGAACACTTCTATGGAAGAAATGAAATGTGTGCTTGGGATGGGGTGCATCTATCGAGGGCTGGGGTTGTTGCTGTTGCGAACTCGTTGGAACCAGTGGTTAGAGGCATTTGTTTGGGTTTGGGTTTAAACTGTTAGTAGATAGTGGTATGGGAATGGATATGGAGGAAGGCGGTAATAAAAGTATGTGCTTGTGAGAGAAACAAATTGGCAAAATGATCAGAGTAAGAGAAGGGCCTCAAAATAACAATACACTTAATTAGGGTATATTACACTACCAGTAGAAGTCTAAGACACAAAATAAACTATTTAAATGCTCTTGTCTGCACAGAAAAAAATATATTATTGCACTTACCGAACTATATTAGCTGAATATCAAATAAATGGATTTAAACTATTTCACACAGATATATTAGACGAGGAGAGGGAGTAGCCATATATGTTAGGGAAAATTTGAAACGTAGTCTCAAAGAGGGAATTTGTTGATGTGACGACTTATATTGAATTTTGTAACTTGCTCATCAAGATTGTAACTTGCTTAGCTAAATGAATTGTGGGGTTCAGTCCCTGAGCCCATTATGCGCCTCTGTAACCCTTTCCACTACCGCCCACAAGATGGGTATGGGGTGCATAATAAGTGAACTGAACTAAAAAAAAAAAGAGGGAATCGAAACTGAGCCACACAGAAACTATTTGGATAGAATTAAACGAAAGAGCAAATATTCTTATAATATGAGTTATATACAGGCCACCAAACTTAAACAGGATGGACGCGAAGCATCTATGGGATGAAATATCTAGAGCATATAGGTATAGCAGTATTTGTGTCATGGGTGACTTGAATTTTAGTGGAATAAATTGATTTAACAGAACAGGGAATGCCTTTCTCAAGGTAAGATCGTCATGAATAAATCCACAAGCTAGGGCCGTGACGAGGGTTCGAACTTACGTCCAGGATGATCCCAGACGCGCTTTAATCGACTGCGCCACGACATGGTATAAGAATTGCAACCTGGAGTGCTACTGCCCTCACGAGGATCCTGCAGCCTCTCCGAGACACAAACCAGGGTTTTACACAATTCGCCCCCCTGCACCCGGGCTCTGTCAACAAGCTGTTCTACCTCTTCGCCCTTACTTCATTACACACAGAAATCACAATAGCGTGATATATCAAATGAATAAATCCACAAGGGCCGTGACGAGGGTTCGAACCTACGCCCGGGAAGATCCCAGACGCGTCTTAGTCGATTGCGCCACGACATGGTAAAAAGAATTTACCATGTCGCTCATCCCGGACGTAGGTTCGAACCCTCGTAATAGCCCTTGTGAATTTGTTCATTTGATGTATCAGGCTATTGTGATTTCTGTGTGTATTGAGATCGTCATGTTTGGACACAATAGTCCAAATGTGGCGCACCAGAGCTATGTACAATTGAATATACAAAAATAAGAGAAAAGATTCTAGCTCTTTATTAAATGAACAAATCCACAAGGGCCGTGACGAGGATTTGAACCTACGTCCGGGATCATCCCAGACGCTGCCTTAATCGACTGAATTACACTTTTTGTTCATTTGATGCATCACGTTATTGTGATTTCTGTGTGTAGCTCTTTATTATTAGCTCATATATTCATATTTCACCTATGGTATCTGTGCCTGGGGATTTACAACCCTAAATTACCTCCGATCCCAAATTACTGTATATAAATCAGCAATTAGAACAATAACAAATTCTAGCACCAGACAGCACTTTGCTGTCAAAATATATGAACTGAAATATAAATGAAATATAAATAAAATATATGAATATAAAAATATTAATAATTCATTATATCGAGGACAGGCAGCCAGCGTATAGGTTAGTATGCGCGAGTAAGGTAAAAAATGAAGTCGCTGCACATTCATCAAAGATCCATAAAATATCTGCACTGCAATGTCAAACGTGATTGTCACGTTCATAGCACACGGCACCATCCGTTTGCACGCGCTGCCGCCGCTGCTTCATACGCCACTTCTGGTGGGCAGGAAATTCTCATAAAGTTTCAAAACGCTATGAAAAACGTTAATGGAAAGAATCCTTTTCTAAGCTGGCCGAGTAAGCCGGACGACTCAAACAGAAAACGGAACAGTACGTCACTTTTGTGAGTCAATTTCATTTCAAATTACGTCCAAATTTGGCCATAGCGCGCATACGAGCGAAAAGTGACGTTATTTTTAAGAGGACAGGTTGAGCAGAGAGTAAACACGAGGGTGTGTGCAGGGCGCCCGCCACGCTTGGACGCTGCTAGTCAGGTATCATTGTAAGTATTAAAGTCAGTGATTGATTGATTGATGAAGATTAAGCCACCCAAAAGGTGGCACGGGTATGAATAGCCCGTAAGTGGTGGCCCTTTTGAGCCATTACCAGTATCAAGAGCTGATACTGGAGATGTGTGGAGGTGCGGCTGCACCCTGCGTGACGGGAGATGTCTCCCGTGTTAAAGTCAGTGATTGATTGATGAAGATTAAGCCACCCAAGAGGTGGCACGGGCATGAATAGCCCGTAAGTGGTGGCCCTTTCGAGCCATTACCAGTATCAAAAGATGATACTGGAGATCTGTGGAGGCGCAACTGCACCCAGCGTGACGGGAGATGTCTCCCGGACCAAGTGGTGACCAAATGGTCTTAAAGTCAGTAACCAAGCAATGGCTTTATATCACCCAATCACCCAAGACTTCCACAGCAACACAGAACCCCACACTGACCTTAAGCGCTTACTATCGGGCTGTACAGAACCCATGGTCATCACACGAGAAACAAATATCGTTTTGATATTCATAAAATGAGACTCAACCAAAACAGAATTGATATGCAAATCAAGGGTCCCAAGTTATGGTATGACCTCTCAAATGTAAATCAAAGTTGCACATCTACCAACCAATTTAAGAGAGAGTAAGAAATATTTATATATTTTTTTCGGGCAGAAATATATTTCTGGCCGAAACACTTTGCGAATGAGTGGCTTTAGGAATTGGATGTACTAGCTCTATCTATAAATCCATCAACTTTTGTATCTCACCTTGTATGTATGTATGTACTTTACCTGAATAAATATTTGTATTTATTTGTATTTACTCATGCCGAGGCTGAGTCACGACACCGTGGCTAAGATACGAGGACCAACCACACATCACAAAAGGGAGAGGCGACGCATGTGGACGCTTCTGGTTATATTATAATTTGCCTGTCGTACACCCCACAGCGACCAGTGGGCGGCAGCGGAGGAAAGGAATTCCAGTGGCATAATGAGTACAGGAAGTAGACGCTCTACACCACCGGACCATTTGGGTGTACCCAGCAACGACCATCCTCCCACCAAAGCAAAGCTGGAAAAATATCAACAAAATCACAGATAGAAAATAGTAGTATAGTTTCTCATACGCATTCGCTTACCAAAGTCAATAGATTAATTAATTAGTTATTGAGCTAAAGTCTACTAGTTATAACATACTAGTCCGTTCTCCCAAGGTTACCCAACGTCAAGAAACTGTCGTACTAACGTGCCCTTATCCTAACCTACCAAAAGACCCAAAACAGAAAACGGGACAGTATGTCAATTCCACGAGCCGCTACCATTTTCCAGTACGACGATGTTTGGCTTTAGGGCGAGTATATACGTCAAAATGCGACGTTCTACGAGGAGGACGAGTTGAATAAACTACGGAAATGATGCGTAGAACATTCCAAGGAAAGAAATTTTCTCATAAACAGCAGTCATAAATTTTATATTAAAGCACGAGTACTCACCTAGTTGTGCTTGTGGGGGTTGAGCTCTGGCTCTTTGGTCCCGCCTCTCAACTGTCAATCAACAGGTGTACAGGTTCCTGAGCCTATTGGGCTCTATCATATCTACACTTGAAACTGTGTATGGAGTCAGCCTCCACCACATCACTTCCTAATGCATTCCATTTGTCAACCACTCTGACACTAAAAAAGTTCTTTCTAATATCTCTGTGGCTCATTTGGGCACTCAGTTTCCACCTGTGTCCCCTAGTGCGTGTGCCCCTTGTGTTAAATAGCCTGTCTTTATCTACCCTATTAATTCCCTTGAGAATCTTGAATGTGGTGATCATGTCCCCCCTAACTCTTCTGTCTTCCAGCGACGTGAGGTTTAATTCCCGTAGTCTCTCCTCGTAGCTCATACCTCTCAGCGCGGGTACTAGTCTGGTGGCAAACTTTTGAACCTTTTCCAGTTTAGTCTTATCCTGGACTAGATATGGACTCCATGCTGGGGCTGCATACTCCAGGATTGGCCTGACATATGTGGCATACAAAGTTCTGAATGATTCTTTACACAAGTTTCTGAATGCCGTTCGTATGTTGGCCAGCCTGGCATATGCCGCTGATGTTATCTTCTTGATATGGGCTGCAGGAGACAGGTCTGGCGTGATATCATCCCCCAAGTCTTTTTCTTCACGAGTATGATGACCGAAGTGTCCAGATATTATGATGATAATGATATTGGAGAAACGTTCCACAATGCCGTAGTGCTTCAAGGAAGGAACCAATACTTGTGTAAGTGTATTATTAAACCAAATTTTCGGATGCAACCTATATCCTTTCTCAAGGGTTTTTCTTTATTAAATAATAAAGAGTACGGTGGTGGTGTATACAGTGTTATGGGCAAGATTCTGAGAGCTTGTGTTTACATGTCTAGCAGAGCGCCAGACAATTTTGTTAATGCTTTTTTTCTGTTCAACCTTTATCAATAACCCAGGCCCAGTCTCACTGGCATTTGAACAATTGCAATCCTTGCAATATATCCTAAAACCTTTACCTGCATTCTTCTTATTATTATTACCATATCAACGTTGCTAATGGTAACTTAACCCACCAAAACCGAACTTACTTAGCCTAATATTTTCTTAGCCTAATATTTTCTTAGCCTAATATTTTCTTAGCCTAATATTTTCTTACCTGAATAAACATCTGAATCTGAATCTGAATCTGAATCTTAGCCTAATATTTTCTTAGCCTAATATTTTCTTAGCCTAATATTTTCTTAGCCTAATATTTTCTTAGCCTAATATTTTCTTAGCCTAATATTTTCTTAGCCTAATATTTTCTTAGCCTAATATTTTCTTAGCCAAATATTTTCTTAGCCTAATATTTTCTTAGCCTAATATTTTCTTAGCCTAATATTTTCTTAGCCTAATATTTTCTTAGCCAAATATTTTCTTAGCCTAATATTTTCTTAGCCAAATATTTTCTTAGCCTAATATTTTCTTAGCCTAATATTTTCTTAGCCTAATATTTTCTTAGCCTAATATTTTCTTAGCCTAATATTTTCTTAGCCTAAGGCTCGTTGACTGGATCTCTGGTTCATTATGAAACAATACTGAGCACGAATTTTCACGAAGCAAAACAACAATAGGCTGTGTGATTAATTCTCTCCAAGCTTGTTAACGGCTGTCACTGCTCTCACTGTCTGCTGCACACCCTCCCACTCACCTGGTAGGTGACAGTACCTGGGAGTGTGGTGGTGGTGGTGGGAGAGAGTACCTGGGAGGGTGGTGGTGGTGGTGGTGGGAGAGAGTACCTGGGAGGGTGGTGGTGGTGGTGGGAGAGAGTACCTGGGAGGGTGGTAGTGGTGGTGGTGGTGGTGGGAGACAGTCGTCACAGGGAGGCAAGCAGTGACCACCAGCCTCCACCAGTGCAGCATCAGCCTCGGCGTCACCTCCTGGTCTCCGCCAAACAATTTCAATTCATACGAGGAATTCAACGTCAAACCGAGAGGTAAGAACGTTCATATGACGTTCCCGTGGTGCCGGTGCCGCTCCTCTGTCACACGTCACACTCCTCTGTCAGACGTCACACACGTCTGCCAGACGTCACACACGTCTGCCAGACGTCACACACGTCTGCCAGACGTCACACACGTCTGCCAGACGTCACACACGTCTGCCAGACGTCACACACGTCTGCCAGACGTCACACACGTCTGCCAGACGTCACACACGTCTGCCAGACGTCACACATGTCTGCCAGACGTCACACATGTCTGCCAGACGTCACACTCCTCTGTCAGACGTCACACACTCGTCTCAACAACGCGTACCTCAAGGTGCAGTTTTTTCTGTTGTCACTAAATTGTTCAGTACCTCAGTTGTTGTGGTGGTGTGACGGTGTGGTGGTGGTAGTGTGACGGTGTGGTGGTAGTGTGACGGTGTGGTGGTGGTGTGACGGTGTGGTGGTAGTGTGACGGTGTGGTGGTGGTAGTGTGACGGTGTGGTGGTGGTGTGACGGTGTGGTGGTGGTGTGACGGTGTGGTGGTAGTGTGACGGTGTGGTGGTGGTAGTGTGACGGTGTGGTGATAGTGTGACGGTGTGGTGGTAGTGTGACGGTGTGGTGGTAGTGTGACGGGGTGGTGGTGGTAGTTTGACGGTGTGGTGGTAGTGTGACGGTGTGGTGGTGGTAATGTGACGGTGTGGTGGTAGTGTGACGGTGTGATGGTGGTGGTGTGACGGGGTGGTGGTGGTAGTGTGACGGTGTGGTGGTGTAGTGTGACGGTGTGGTGGTGGTGGTGTGACAGTGTGGTGGTGGTGTGACAGTGTGGTGGTGGTAGTGTGACGGGGTGGTGGTGGTAGTGTGACGGTGTGGTGGTGTAGTGTGACGGTGTGATGGTGGTGGTGTGACAGTGTGGTGGTGGTAGTGTGACGGGGTGGTGGTAGTGTGACGGTGTGGTGGTGGTGTGACAGTGTGGTGGTGGTAGTGTGACGGGGTTGTGGTAGTGTGACGGGGGTGGTGGCAGTGTGAGGGAGAGGGGGGGAGGTAGCATGCATACTCATACTAACACAATGGTCTACTCATGCAGGACACATTACTCACAGCCGAGTATAACACACTAATCCTAGTGTGATGCAGTACATGCCGCTCATTGTGGTGTGGAGGTCACACTACCCTTGGCCCTCTTCCGGGGGTCACCTATCCACCTGCTGGCCACACCTACCCAGTATGAGCCACTACAGGTCTTAGCTAGTAACGCTCGTTACCCAACCATTCAGTGTGAGCAGTTAGTGTCCGAGTGTGTTGTGGTGGGGTGTACTCTGTGGTACTGTGCTGGGGTGTACTCTGTGGTACTGTGCTGGAGTTACTCATACTCCACCAGCCCCTCCCACCTGTCACCAGGGTGACGTCACTGCCTTCACTGTAGCACCTCACAGTACACAGGTAGATCACTACACTCACTGTAGTACCACACAGTATACAGGTAGATCACTACAGTCACTGTAGCACCTCACAGTACACAGGTAGATCACTACACTCACTGTAGCACCTCACAGTACACAGGTAGATCACTACACTCACTGTAGCACCTCACAGTACACAGGTAGATCACTACACTCACTGTAGCACCTCACAGTGCACAGGTAGATCACTACACTCACTGTAGCACCTCACAGTACACAGGTAGATCACTACACTCACTGTAGCACCTCACAGTACACAGGTAGATCACTACACTCACTGTAGCACCTCACAGTACACAGGTAGATCACTACAGTCACTGTAGCACCTCACAGTACACAGGTAGATCACTACACTCACTGTAGCACCTCACAGTACACAGGTAGATCACTACACTCACTGTAGCACCTCACAGTGCACAGGTAGATCACTACAGTCACTGTAGCACCTCACAGTACACAGGTAGATCACTACAGTCACTGTAGCACCTCACAGTACACTGGTAGATCACTACAGTCACTGTAGCACCTCACAGTACACTGGTAGATCACTACAGTCACTGTAGTACCTCACAGTACACTGGTAGATCACTACACTCACTGTAGCACCTCACAGTACACTGGTAGATCACTACACTCACTGTAGCACCTCACAGTACACAGGTAGATCACTACAGTCACTGTAGCACCTCACAGTACACAGGTAGATCACTACACTCACTGTGGCAGTAATGACACCAAGTAGTACCATGTAATATTAGTGATCACAACCCCCTAAGCCATAACTATGATGCTCTACATCGTGTGGAGGTCAATATCGTCTCTCACATAAATGGTCCCACATAGTAGGTCGTGTTATTAACGTTATTGACCAACCTCACACACGCAGCCTACTCTGACAAGTAGTGGCTCGTAAATTCCCACGTGTTCTATGGTGGTTATGTTAGGACGTTGTAGTTTTGACGGAGTGGTAAGTGTTCAGGAGGTGGTGGGTGACGACACGCCGTCACTCAGCCGTGACAGGTGTTGCTGAGTGAAGACTCGTGGAGTGGCGCCAGGGATGGCCGCCTCCACGGCTCCCCGCCGCCCTGGAACTTGACACTTCTCACTCTCACGGCGACTCACTTGGTCATGTGTTGTGGCTTCCTCTTCACGCCAGGAGCCCTTATATCCGGAGCCACCAGTGTTCCACACAGCTGCTGGAAGACTTGTTCCCTTCACGCCAGGAGCCCTTATATCCGGAGTCACCAGTGTTCCACACAGCTGCTGGAAGCCTTGTTCCCTTCACGCCAGGAGCCCTTATATCCGGAGCCACCAGTGTTCCACACAGCTGCTGGAAGCCTTGTTCCCTTCACGCCAGGAGCCCTTATATCCGGAGCCACCAGTGTTCCACACAGCTGCTGGAAGCCTTGTTCCCTTCACGCCAGGAGCCCTTATATCCGGAGCCACCAGTGTTCCACACAGCTGCTGGAAGACTTGTTCCCTTCACGCCAGGAGTCCTTATATCCGGAGCCACCAGTGTTCCACACAGCTGCTGGAAGCCTTGTTCCCTTCACGCCAGGAGCCCTTATATCCGGAGCCACCAGTGTTCCACACAGCTGCTGGAAGCCTTGTTCCCTTCACGCCAGGAGCCCTTATATCCGGAGCCACCAGTGTTCCTACACAGCTGCTGGATGCCTTGTTCCCCTCACGCCAGGAGCCCTTATATCCGGAGCCACCAGTGTTCCTACACAGCTGCTGGAAGACTTGTTCCCTTCACGCCAGGAGCCCTTATATCCGGAGCCACCAGTGTTCCACACAGCTGTGGGAACCGACCTGTGAGATTTATATTTATTTAATTTATATGAATTTATATTTACGTTAATTTATATACTTCGATAGCAATTTGTATAATGATAAGTGGACTGTATTTCTGCAATAATCTCATAATCTCACAAATCGATCCTCTACACATTAGGGGGGGGGTTATTAAATTAATATATATATGCAGCCAATCAAACTACAGAAATAACTACATACATTAAAGAGGTTCCTTATCTTATAGTACAGCAGGTTAGTCCACCAGGTATAACTAGGGTGTAGACACCAAATTATCCTCTTTGAGGTAGCTTCCATATCACCCAGTAACTGGTGCACAAATCTTGCATCCTCGTCTTGACCTGTCAAAAGTGCGCTAGCTGTGAAGCCAGAATCCTATATATGACAAGCTATATCAGAGAAAACACTATACAGTACATGGAACATTAAAGACCTGGCTTAATTACCTTTAGTATGAGGCGATTTCGCGTTCTAACCGGCTAACCCTATATCCTGACATTAATGGCCATAAATGAATGATAAACGGGTTTCGGATAGACACTTAACTTGTATTTGTAGACAGCGTGTTGACAATGGTACACCTTTGGGTTCCATAACACTACGTCCAAGTAAAATTAACAGGAGCCGAATTTGCTCCCGTGTGAGCCTCTGGTCTCGTATAAACAATAGCTGCCCTCCTTCCCCACAGACGCCTGGCCTACTTTGTCCAGATTTCAGAAAGTGATAGAAGGGTCACATTTACTCTACTTTAATATTGATAATTAAGTTAATTTATATAAGATGTTTTTATGATGGTAAAGTCCAAAGACTAATGTATTTAAGAACAATTCCCAGCAGAATAGCTGGTGAATTATAATAGTATGTGGTGATGATATCCCGTTTTCTATAGACGGTAATTCCACTACAAGTTACGTTTTCTATGGGTAACTTGCTTATACAACAGCAATTATCTGTATGATTATTAAATAGTGTCGGATTTTCCGACATAATTCCCCAGGGGGCTGCTCACGGGTCGAAGTCCTATTTAGAACAGACGAACACCGATACTCCTCCTTCGAATTATTACATTAATTTGATGTTAGTAGTTAGTAATCACACATTTGTGTGTCTGTTCGTACAGGACGGATGTCCCGTACTAGAGTTGCAGGGGTTAGAAGTCTAATGCGATTTCATTTCCCTGTCAACTCTTGAAAGGCTAATATTCAAGCCTAATTACATATTATTTAACCCAGAAGACTGGATGTGATCAAGTACTACAGTCAAGTATGATTCAGGGACTGCAGTGAGATCAGTGACATTAGATATAACTTGAAGTTTCTTCAGGTAACTGGTCACTGATATATAAACACTGAGGCCCATGGAATTCATCTTGATTAAATAATAAATGTATCAAATCAGTCATCAGATTTATTGGGGTTTAATTTAGTTAATTGATTCAGAAGATTGAATAGCTCATCATTAAAGTAAAGTATGGTTCTGAGACTGCAGTGGGTTCAGTGACATTGGTCGCAGTGACTTGTAGCTGTTTTAGGCTACTGTTCACTGATTTGCCACTGAGGCCTCATGAACTCATCTCCAGCTTCAAATGATGATACTAACATCAACCTCTGTTGCTATAGTCAGCTGTAATCTCCTTAGTATAATGCTACTGGAGAAATATAATCAGCTGACAAATTTAGATTTCTACTGGTATTGTTTATCTGCAGGCATAGGTCTCCTCAGGCTTGATAC